TTCGTCACTTCGAGTTGTAGTTGTAATTTCGTTAGACAGTTCGTCGTCGTCGTCCTGTGTCGGCGCATTGGTATTGGCTGGGAGCTGCTGCTATACTGCTCCTTTATGACATTGGTTTCGACAGTCTTGCTGATCAAAACGATGCCTGCGACAGGGGGTGTTGCGGTGGTGGTGGTGGTGGTGGTGGTGGTGGTGGTGGTGGTGGTGGTGGTGGTGGTGGTGGTGGTGGTGGTGGTGGTGGTGGTGGTGGTGGTGGTGGTGGTGGTGGTGGTGGTGGTGGTGGTGGTGGTGGTGGTGTCGGCGATGGTCATGGCGAGCGATGGCGACAATATGCGACAATGCCCTGAAGAGAAAAACAACAATGCAAAACTATGCTAAGGATGAGGACGAAAGTGAGGGTGGCGGCGGTGGTGGCTTGGCGAGTCTTGTTGGCAAGTTGGCGCGGTGATCTCGGACAGGATAAGCAGTCTTCCCAAAAGAGAAGCATCACAACCTTTCGACCCCGATGTTTCCCACGAAGACTTCCAGGCATTGCTCTAAGTGCCGGGCACCGCCGCGGCCCAGCAGGGCTTCTGCCAGCTCCAGTTGCTCCTGGGCGCCGCGGCTTGCTTGGAAGGGCAAGGGGCTTCAGTGCACTGGGGCAGTGCAGGAATTTTGGACACTGATTTAAACTCCGCAGGGGGGAAAGGATTCTGCAGATTCCGGCTTAGCCGGATGCAGCGGGATGTGCAGCTTACAGCCTGTTCCGGTTCCATGGACTGGATTTTCATTCTGTCGAGGCGTTCGGGTCGCTCCGCAACATGTGTTGCAAGAGAGATCGGGAGAGCGGAGAGAGGCTGACCCCGCAAAGTTGCTGAGTGAATTGTACGAAAAACATGAACTAGGCGGTATGCTCACATTGGATTGATTGCAGAGAGATTTTGACTGCTTGGTTGCCGGAGGAACGATCGCATGTCAACATACATACGTACATACATACAGTTACATACATACATACATACATACATACATACATACATACACATGCGCACACCTGCACCACTCGTACGAAAGAAACGCATCTGAGGTGAGTCCGCTGCCATCACAGCTCGAGCATTCCGCTCGCTGACACCATCCTTGCGAAGCATCTGGTCGGAATGCAGAATCGGGGTTCCGGCGGACGCTCATCACTCTTCATGTTGCTATTTGTTTTCCTGTTGGGGTGAGCAGGTTTTCAACTCCGAAAACGCCGTTGCGCCTGCAAGCGCTCCTTGCTCCTTCCTACTCTTGCCTTTACGAAGACCCAAAAACCTCTGCAACTATGGCATGCTACCGTGTCCTTGCATTCCCAAGTTTGCAACCCAGCTTTCTGTGGACTATGTAAAATGTATGGAGGCCCTAGATGGAAGCGGCAACTACAGCCAAAGTGCTTCGCGGAGCGTTGCTTCGAAACTCATGCTGAGCTGTGCAGTTTCACAGTCTGAAGCGAGAGAGAGAGAGAGAGAGAGATCGAGCAGCTTTAAGATAGTTGGTGCTCGCACCCCAGCAGTTGCCTCCAACATGTTGGCGAGAGATGTCCTTGGCACAAAGGCGGAGTGGTGCACCAACATGCACCAACGTTCAAGTCTCGATGACTTCCGAGCGGAATCAGTTTGGGTGCACGCGCGCACGGTTGTATGTATGTCCCTGTGAATGGGTGCAGGTGTCGGCGTGTGGGTGTGGGTGCGCGCGTATGCGGCGTGTCGTTACGTATGCATGCAATGTATGCAGGCACTGATCAGGCATTGCTTCTATTAGGCTTGTGGCTTTTAAGATGCATTGGAGTCGTCTCAGACCCTACAAACCCAAAGTGCATGAAGTGCATCATAGCACATCCCACTCTGTCTTCTGGGCTGCCGGCAGAACCAGAGCCGACGCACCTCATCAGGAACTGAAGTACGAATGGGTTGAGTTTAGTTTCTCCTGTTCCACTTGAAGATTGTCTGAAGTTCAAAAGTCCCGGATGGCTGGATCCCCTAGAGGATCAGGGCATGTTGCAGTGACAGTCCAAGTGTGAGTGAACAGGAACCTGGAAAGATCTACCGAAATACCGGTGATTTCTTAATCACCCCTTTTCGCGCGAAGTACCAGTGCTTCGCGTTTATCGTGTTTACTTAAGAGATCTTAAGAGGGATCATGGCTGTCTTCGAGAACTGGCAAACTCTGTGAGATGCTCGTATGCTATCCCTACTGTCAGGTCACCCGAATCGCAGTACCCCGCTGCTGGCCCAAACAATATCAAAAGGCTTGCCTGCGAGGCGCCTCGCTTTCTGTGGTGTCAGTTTAGGGTTTTGCGTCTCAGGCCGCAGCATCCCAAGTGGCAGAACTCCTCGCCTGTTCCTGCCAGGCATCCGGTGCATTCTCGGGTATGCTACGTGTTGGCAGAACGCCGACAGGAGATCAATCTCTCCAGAACGGAGCAGAAGGCTAAGAGACAGCATGCATCTGTGTATGTGTATCAAAAATATATATATATATATATATATATATGTATATGTAAACACATGCACACATACACATCATATATATATATATATATATACACATACACATGAGTAAAGACTCACATATCGAGACAGGTACGCAAGAAAAAGGCAGCGAGACGCCGGAGGCGTGCAGGAAGGTATCATCAATGGAAATGCTTTCCATCAGTTCTAGACTCTGGACAAGCACAAGGCTGCTGCATGCCTTGGAACTTTGAACTGTGAGCGCAAAATATGCATTCCTCTCTGTCAAGCAGCTCCCGAGCAATCAGAGCCGTCTGAAGGGGTGCACCTTCTGCCAGGGAAGATTCGGTGTCCTTAGCTGGGCAGCTCAACATGGTGGTGTCGTCAACCCTTGTGTTGTTTGGGGCCGGCACCCTACAAGGTCAGGCGGGGTAATGGGAGTGACTAAGGCAGACTGGCTTCACTTCTCCGGCAGACCCAGACACGTTGTCAGAACTTTTCCACACATCACCAACAGCAAGTGTCATTATTCATTACTCAAGTTCAGGGTTTACGGGTTGTCTGAGTCTCCTTATAACGGGTCATGCAGGGTTCATATCATCAACCGTAAGAAGGAACAGTCATTACAACCGATAGTTTGGCCAATAGCAAGTGATAGTTTGTTTTTTTCGGTACTTGATCATGTAGTCCTCTACAAAAATGAAGATTGTACACTCTTACTTGGTATCCAGTAAGAGTGGAACACCACCGAGAAGCTCAAAACCTCGATTTCCAGTCTATCTCTCTCATTGCTTTCACACATGTAGTCCTCAGATATGTGTGCATAAGATTTTACATTCTTACTTGGTACCAAGTAAGAATGGGAAATCGTAAATCTTAGGTTCGGCCTGCTTCTCGTCATTATTGCCACTGTGTTTTGGAAGAATCGTTGGCAAATTTCAGAGGTGGTTGAAAGAAACCAAGAGCCTGATGCCCAGAGTTTTTTGGGCCTGTGAGAGAACATGCTGACAAGCTAATATATTTATATATATATATATATATATATATTAATACACATACTACATGCATGCACACACACCTGGCACATGGGTGGGTGTGGGCGAACAGCTGGAACCCGACATTTCGAAAACAACACAACCATGCCTGTTTCTTTGTCCTGTTGGTCACACAGACACCATGAAATTCAGCTTGGAATGCCAGTTGCTGCAGGCTTCTAAAGAGTACCCGTCCTTGGTAGGATTCTCAGTGCATTTTGGCCATCCCCACACATTTGCTCATATCAAAGGGCTGTCAGCTGAATCTTGTCATGATCATGGTTACCATCATCATTAATGGACCTCAGCCCACTATTCGTAAATCTTCCCGGGCCCACATCAACTTCCCATCTGAAACCACCCAAATAGCCCTAAATTGCCCTAAACTTGTTGAAACCAGAAACCCTAGCCTAGACCCTAGTACAACAATTTAAAGTCTACCACAGGCATCCTTTTCAGGGCCTTGCAGGCAAGCTCGGCGACGAGATCCTAGCAAGAAGAGGCCGGGAGTGCTGGGACAGCACAGAATCATAGAGGCACTGGGACAGTGCACACGGACACATCCACAGGTGCTGCGATAGCACAGAAGAAGGCACTGGACAGTGCACACTTCAATTCAGGCGCTGCGATAGCGCGGAAGAAGGCACTGGGACAGTGCACACTTCAATTCAGGCGCTGTGATAGCGCAGCAGCAGAAGCAGCTGTCACAGCACATTGAGGGGAGGGAATGGGAGGGAGTGAGGGAGGGAGAGAGTGGGGGCGATGGGGGGAATGGGGGGGGGATGGGATGGGGGGGATGAGGGGGATGGGGGAGGGGGGGGTCGAACAAGGAAGGAAGGGGGGGGGTGTGGAGGAGTGGAAGCCGGTGATTTTCTGAGTGCACTGCCTGCCACTTCGGAGCTGCCGAACCTTGTTCCAGAACTGCCGCAAGATGCTTTTAGGCTGAGCAGTCATGTGGAGTTAAAGCTCATATCATTGACCACGCATCGACAAATTATGCAACACATCTCTTAGCAACTGAGTCAGGGAGGTTGCGAATTAGAATGGGTTGTAATTAAATGTTGTGATGACTATGCATGGCAGCCTACTAATTGTTATCCAGGACTTCGTTGATGGCACTGCTTTAGGCGCCCGCGATGTGTCCGAGATGATGTGCCAGGGCCTTGGCAACTGTCAGCCAGTGATGTGAGAGTGCCCACTTGACACGACATGGTGCAATGCAGTGTGCAGCTGCCTTTTGATGCCTCCAGCGAATGCCCTGTCCTGTGTGCTGTCGCTTTCTTCGGGCCTTGACAGTTGCAAGAGAACTTGAACTTTCAAGTGATTCATGATTTGACTCGTCATGTGTGAAATTTAATGAGCCCCTTGCGTCCGAGGAGTCGTCGTCACCTTTTCGTGAGGCCTAGGAGGAAGAGTTGTGCACAGCTAAGACCACTTCGACACAGTCTGCATTTACTGTCTCCAGTCCAGCGACCCATGTCATTCGCAGACGGCGGCCGTATCATCGTGACCTCTATAGATTCACACGTGGTTGGTGCATGCACTCATCCTTCGTGGCTGCAAAGGTTCCTGCCTGGTTCGCGGCCGCTTTGCCGTGGCCTTGACAGTTGTAATAGGGTTAATATGTTTCACCAACTTCAGCTTTGTCTGTGCTTCTGAGTCTCTTGCCTTTGCAACAGAGCTGTCTTCGGAGTCACTTTGTCGAGAAACCTATAGGAGGGACAGTAAGATCTTCCGGCATAGTAATATCCAGCTCAATAATGTTGATTTGAGGCTGCGGCAACTTCGGTGTCAGAGTCTTCCGATCCCGATTCCTTCAAGGCCCGAGCCTGGTGAGCGGGTGGCTTCAAAGAAGTAGGATTGGGAGAGATATCAAATTGAGTCGGGCACCGGTGATGTCGGGGATAGCCGAGCCCCATCCCGTGCCTTCAACTTTGCCTGCAATTCAAGAGGGTTGGAAGGTAAATTGGAGTTGGTAAACAAGATCCTTCCTTAGCATCGACGAGCTTTGCCTCGAGAGCCTCGTAGCAGTCGTAGAGATCCAGCAGCAGGGCCTGTGAGTGAAAGACCGGGGCGGGAGTTTATAGTTCTGGCACAAGAAAAAAGGGGTTGATGCCTTTGTCTCGTCAGACTGGACACCCAGCTCCTTGATGCGATCCTTGCATTGCACTCGAGACGAAACCATCTGTGATTCTGCAAGCTTGCTGATGGGTGTGCAGCCTCAGCTGTGTCGTTCTTGCTTTGCAGGATCTGGATCATCTCTTCCTGGCGGATGCACTCGGGAGGGTGGGAGCCCCAGTGATGTCGCTCACCAGGCCTTCTTGACCATTCTGATCATCATGTCCTCCTGAACCATGCGAGCCGTTTCCTGACATAGCAAATGAAGTCATGATGTTGTGATGCCGGTGCTGATGTTCGGCCTTTCTTGCACTCTTGATTTCGTGTGCTCTGTACTTCCACTTCGCCTTTTCCTCCTAGCAGCACATTGCAGTAGCTGTGAAAACAAGACTGCATTGACCCCGTTGCCTGGACTTCGCGAAGTTCCGACTCCTTCTTGTCCAGTAAGGCCTGTCACTTCTGCAATGCATGATAGATTGTGTGCTGTGCCGACCCATGCACAATATACTGTGTTGCCCAGACTGATTGCCTTGGCTCCACGGAGCTCCTCCTCGTTCTGGAGGTCTCTGGATTCCTGGGGCAGATTCCCGGATGGCCCTATACGTCGACTGAATTGAACTCCCAGTGCCTTCACTTCTTGCAGCTGCTTTAAGTCGGCCTGCCGCTGTTTTGGAAAATGGTCTGAGTGCACAATGAAATCTGATGTAACTCTGTGCTCATCCACTTCGCCTGTAGGCTTGTGACCATTGTGTCCTTCTGCTGGCACTCCGCCTCCAGGCTTGTGACCTTCTTTTGGCAATCCTCAGAAAAGGGCTTGCAGGATGAATGGCCTGTGATTGTGCATGGCTACCATGCCTGAAGCTGCTTCTTAAGGTCGTCGTTCGACTTCAAGTGGACCTGGCAAGAAACCACAAACTGAATCAGCTTCAAACTGTGTGGAAACCGGGCAGTAAAGGCCTCCTCTGTGGACTTGGCAGTGATGAGGTCCAGATTCACTTTGCGCACTCGGCCCTGGAAAGAAACAAGGCATTGGACACAAGTTTCACTTGCAAAACGCCAACACAAACTAGTGGCCTCAGCCATCTCGGCCCTGTGCTTCAAGTCGGCGTTCATGCCCTGCCCAAGAAAAGGTTTGTTCTGGGAACCGCGAATGATGGCATTTCCCTGCCCGGCCCTGCCTGGCACCTGGCCAGCTCGCGGGCCGTGTGGTCCGCTTCACTCTGAACCGTCGCCAGCTGTGCTTTGAGCTCCTTGATCTCTTTCTTCAGTGGAGCCCTGATCGCCTCACGATCAGCCTGGGAGCGTGTCCTCTCCTGTGTTCCATCCTCAAACCTGGCCCGCAGAGCCATCCCTCCCTGCCGTCCTTTCATCTGTGTGGTCCCCTTTCCACCACGTTGGGAACCGGACTTTCCCTGTCCCGTCTCCTCCTCCTCATCATCATCCCAGTGCCACCATGTGCCATCATTCCAGCTCGACGACCCGGCCCACCCGGATCCGGACATGGCTTTTCGGTGATGCTACTTGTTCCTGTGCAACTGTGATGGATTCAAATTTCTGCATCAAAGGTAAAGTAGTTACAGTTGAGCATATTTTATATATGCATCGATGACAAGGACATAATAAGAACCCCACCGCTCGATGAAGCTGCCATGATCTCTGTATTTCATGAACTCACAAACCTTCTTAAGTCTTGGGCCTTTGCTGTGCAGCACAGTGCTTGCATGTTGTTGCTAGTGCCCAACAGAATCCACTTCAGTGATGCATCTTCAGAAAACTATGCACTCTGAGGCCTGAGCATCCCGATCTTCGGCTTTCTTTCAAGGCTGGCCTGCGGGTTGAATCAGTGTCTTTTTCTGGAGCTTCGATAGTCTTAGTCGCTGCATCTTCATGTGTGTGCGCTCTCACAGCGCCTGATGTCTTTCCTAAAGAGAATAGCATGCACCATGCGCTATCACAGCGCCAGAAAGCTTAGCTGCACTGTCACAGTGCCAGATAAGTCAAATGTTTGATGACAGCCCTACCCACCTTTGATGCCGGCAGGCCTTCTTCGATGTGCATGATTTGCGGCAACTCCTCTGCAGTGGAAGGGAAGGGAGGGTGGCTGTAGTACTGCCAACAGCTCAAGGGTGTCTCGAAAAATGGCTGGGTGTCTCGAAATCAGGGGTGGCGGTTCGAAAACTTAGGTTTACGACACCCTGTTAATTATCCCTGCTCTCGTTCCAAGCATGTTCGATCAACAGCATTGCAGAAGCTCTTTAACATGTGTGTCTACTTCCTGGGAAGCAATGCACCATGATAAGACAGCATGCTCTACCAGTAAATTTGTGAGCTTGCCACAAGCCATCCTAGCCAGGCCTTAAACACTTGTATGGGGCGGAAGTCACTTGAATAGCATGTCCCCAGAATGTTTACACAAATCGCACATTGCATTCGCACCGACACACACACACACACTTTCTGCATGAGGCCGGCAGGTCATCGAAACTTTGCCATCATGGGCCATGTTGCCTCTGGCAGATGAGGAAACAGCTCATTCCTGGACAACATGCTCGGGGGAAGCATGCTGCCAGCGGCTTCAAACCATGGCAGGGGTGACTTCTCCGGCTGATAACTTCCTGATGCCAACTTCTTCAGAGCATCAGAGCCGGCTCCCCGGCTGAAGGGCGCCCTCTCCACCACACCTGCTAGCTTTATCAAATCCTTTCGCCTCTGGTCGGACACGGTTTGACGCGGCACCAGGGGAATGTCCTGGAAAGGAGGAAGTCTGCCGAGGCGACTGTGTGGAAGAACCAAGACCGGAGGATGGGTGTCCTTGTCCAGCATCCTGCTTTTGCAGACTACAAACACATCTTTGGTATCACCTTCTTTGCTTGCACGTGGAAGTCTTGACATCTCCAAAGCTGTCAGGTCCATTCGCCTTTTGTAGATGTACGAATGAGGAACGTCCTGCAGATGATCTTGTCCTTTTGGCTTCCTCGGCATGAATGCACTGGATAGCTTGATTCCCATTGTGGACAGCCAGTCTTCGTAGGCACGGATATCCGAGCTGTCCTGCACCAGAAGTGCCTCGCCGCAGTTTTCAGCTCGGGCCTGCATTGCGGCTTGCATGATGTCTAGAACATCCTGCAGACAATCAAAACTTGACCTTCGCAGCACCGGTAGAAACTCTGCAAAAAGAGCGTCGATATCCTCGTGAGTGTGACCACGAACTAGGTAGTTTGCGGTCACAGTCTGCATCTTTCCCGCTGCGACCAGATACGAAAAGTACAAGTGGGTAGTCGAGTTTTTCGAGAAGCTGCAAGTATTATCTGACTGCAGCACCAAGTGGCTTGGTGGATCGCCCTTCTCGGAAATTCTCTGCACAACACGGTTGATGATTTCCACCAAGTGATCGGCTCCGTGCTTGACTGACTCCTGGGTTCACAGATCGAACACACAGTACAATCACTGAAACATGGGGCATCAGGGGCACACAACGACATCAATCTTGTTCACAACTGGCCGGGTCTCATCATCAGAGACGAAGATGCCCAAGCAATGGCCATGGCACATTGCAGCAGTCAACACAAAGCGAGGTCGATGAAGCCCCTCAACTGATTTGGGAAGGCGATCGTAGTTCATCTTCGGGTATGCAAATTTGGCCTTGTCCATAGAGTCACAAACAAGACTCAGCAGTCCAGCTTTTGCACGGGATGCATACCGGATGTGATAGTAGAGAAGCCTGTCAGCATACTGGCAGGCCAAGTGTGCACGCCATGCAGCTGCATGGCGCACACGTTCATGCAAAGGTAAACCCTGACTGTGCAGCAGCTGTTTTGCCTCCCAGCAGACAGTGCATTCGGCATGAGATGATTTCTGTCTGAAATCTAGCACTTGCTTGTACCAGTATTGGTGCCACACACGCATAAATGTGCTCCATGAAGGGATCTGGAACTGCGAATCGGAATCTGAACGTTCATGTGGCTGCAGCTGTGCACGCTGGGCTTGACACCAAGCCAGAAACTGATACCAGAGGTCAGATATCTGACCTGGTGGCAAAAACCGGAGGGGCGCTTGCATTCTGCCATCACCCTTGCCAAAAAGTGCAACAACCCGCTCGGGGATTGAAGTGTCCAAGTTCCACAGAAACGACTTCTGGAAAGTCTCCGAGGGAGCTGCAGATTGTGAGCCATCTGTGTCCAATGCTTGCTCAGCAAAGCTTGTGCCATCCCCTTGCATGACCTCAGGCAATGTTTCGGCAGCACTCATGTACTGGTCCATAAGGAAATGATGGACAATGTCCTGCTGAGGGTGTGGACGGGGGCGAGTTGGCATATTGTCCAAACCACTTTTGCGAAGGTCGGGATCCCCATGCATCATTCGCAGTACAGTGGTGGGGGAATGGCCCAGCAGTCGGCAAAAAGCCCTGAAGCAGACATCCCGACCATCAAGCTGCCATTGTTTCCGCTTCATTGCAGAATTTGTGGTCTCCATGTCACGTACCTGCTCACTGCACTTCTCACCATTGAACATGTTGAACAAAACCTGGTACTGTGTGGCCGTCGAAAGGTCATGCCATGCAGAAGCCAAAACCTTAACCTGCTTCACCGAGAACTTCGTCATGCAATTCTTCTTGCATCCGCACTTGCCTCGTAGTGCTTGTGTGATCCTATCAATGTCTTTCCCATGAGCACTGTAGACGTTGTCGTGATCTCTTTCTTTGGGCAGAACCTTTAGCAAGGGCATGCATATGTTCATGATCTCCGTCACAACTGGCTGTGAAGATGCTGCCTCTGGCACACACGGCGGCGGCATTGCCTCATCGACCGGAGGCTGCATCCAATCATCTACCGGAGGCTGCATCCAATCATCCACCGGAGGCTGCATCCAGTCATCTTCTGCTGGCTTCACCTGCATCTGAGACGAAGTCGGCTGCCGTCCCCTCCGGGATGGCTGCCTGTCTTCCAACTTTGGCTTCATCCAAGAAGTGTCAGGCTTCAACCTTTTCCGGGGCGGTTTCTCAGACGGCTGGGTTGCAGAATCTGACTCCTCCAAAGGACAAGTCATCCATGACTCCGACATGTTGGATTCAAGCACTTCTATACTAATTATGCCCAATTATGCCTCATCCATGATGTACAGATGTTTCGATCACTGGTGCATCAACGAATGCTCTCATGACACACAAGAAAGTCTCTCTGCCGCCAGCTGCGCCAACATTCAGCTCCAGCCTTTAGATTTCATTTCTTCTCAAACACAGTTGGCAGCACTGCATACCCTGATACTGAAAAAGATTGCAGAAGAAAAGGGTTGGAGTGTGTGGATGATATGATCCAACAGTACAGCTGCAAACAAGCTAAAACAATCTCGTTGCTCTGTTCCTCTCCAATTCCATTCTTTTCCATATGTGCACTCTGATGCCTCGAAACGTCAGCAGCAGTGGATCCACAGCTGCACTAATTAAGGCACACCGACGAAGTCCAAGCATTGAAAACTCACTCCAAATTTCGGCACCAATCGTCATCTGAGGCACTGGTGGGCTGAGGCTTCCGGTAGTGCAGCATCCATGCAGCCACCATAGCCTTGGCCATCTTCAGGGGGTATTCCCCCGAAGCTTTCAACACAGCCGCCTTCCCTGTGGTCTTCACAACTCCATGCGCATCCACCTTCCTTGTATGCAGCTTCTTGTGCTCCTTCTTGCACTTGCACGGAAAGTTTAAGTCACCCATCCAGCTTGCAGTGCCAACAAGCTTATAGGGTTTCTTCTCCTTCTCCCGAGCTGTAACGAAGCGACAGCGGCAGCAGATGGCGACAGTGACATGGGCGGCCATGTAAGACAAAGTGCGAGCGATGGGCTCATAACTCCAGAAATAATTAGCCTGGGGGTTCTCCAGGATGGGGAAAACCCCACGGACCCAGCTCAACAGAAACAGCAGAATGCTCAGTCGAGCCATGGAATTGCCCTGCTCCACTTTAAACCGCGTCTCGTCACCAGCTGGGTTGCTTTTCGAGCGGCCACTCTGGCTGTAGAGGTGACAGAAGCTGCCGCAATCACAAGCAATCCAGGCCATCCCACCAGGGCGGACACGTGCCACCATTCTTGTGGCACGTGTCGCACCTAAGTTGGTCAGAGCGTCGTTTAAGGGGTTCTCCAGGATGTCGTACTTCTCGGCTTTCAAGTCTCGCAAATGCATAGCAGTATAGATGTTACCAGCACCGGAAAAGATCTCGCATCCATCCAGTTCCGGTTGCACTCCATCTGCTATGCGCAGCATGTCCTCGAAGGTGAGCCCAGCACTGTGAATGTCTCTGCTCCATATGAGTGCCTGGCGCCGCATGTGATCCATCCCAAGAAGGATTGTAGGAGCTGGCTTGGGTGCTCAGAGGTTTCTGGGTCGCTGTGCTGTCTGGAGGGTCTTGTCTTAGAAAGGTCTCATGTTATCTGCAGATAGAATGTTGACTTCTCGACGATAATTGGAGCCTCTGAACATCCGGGTACACACATGTGGCATGCAACCATGCG